CAACTTTTAAAAGTCCAATAGTCTTTAAAACACTTTAAAAGTTCAAAGTCAGTTGTGCCCGGTTGTGGTAGTAGAGGCAGGCAATTAATTCTCTGAGTTCAAGGCCAGCCTGGTCTACAAAGGAAGTTTAAGACAGCCAGGGTTACACAAAGAAATCTTGTCTTGAAAAACAACACCCCCCCCCAAAGTTCAAAGTCTCTAAAATAGCTAGGTTTCCTAACTGTAGGTTCCTGTAAAATCTGAAAACAAGTTAAATACTGTCTTATTCCAAGAGTGAAGAACCAGGGCACAGTTACATTCAGATTAAAGCAAAACCAAAGTCCATTGATGTAAAGCTAAGTGTCAGACATCTGGGACTCACCATCTTCTGGGTCTTAAAGGGCACAGGTAGCTCCACCTCTGTCTGTCTCTTCATACATAGCATGTCTCAGGCTCAGACCAGCTCCGTTTCATAGCTATTGCTATCCTTGGTGACTGTCCCATGTCTCAAATTCTGGAGTCTCCGCTCTAGCTGGTCTGCACCTTAACCAGTAGCCGTTCCTGGGCTCTCTTTAGGGACTCTGACCCTGTCACACATGGTACCAAGCTTCAACTTGGCCTCTTCATTCCTGGACCTTCTACAGCAACTGAGGCTGCATCTTCACCTCTGGCCTCTCCTGCTCTCGCACAGTGTCAGGCCCCAGCTGGTCTCATTGACTGTTTCATGCCTTTAGAACCGAGTATCACTCTATGAGACCAAGTTTGGCTGCCAGCATGAGGCACAGCCTTGGTTCCCATCTGGACTACAGTGTACTGATCCTGAGGAAACACTTCCTAGAAGTGTTTTTGCCTTAGTGATGCTGTTTTCCTTATCCTCCTCATTTTTTTCAAGTTCTGATCATTTATTTGTTACTCTTTTTTTCTTTTCTTTCTTTTTTTTTTTTTTTTTTGGTGGTGGTGTTTCTCTGTGTAGCCCTGACTCTCTTGGAACTCACTTTGTAGACCAGGCTGACTTGAACTCAAAGATCCACCTGCCTCTGCTTCCTGAGGACTGGATTTAAAGGCATGTGCCACCACTCCTGGGTTATTTGTTACTTTGAAAGACTTATTTTTGACTGGCCTCAGATTTAGAAGTAGAAACTTTCAAACAGTCCACATCTCTGTCTCTTGGCATATTGGTCATATTTCTTCATTCTTTTGCCCAAAGTTCAGCATATTCTGAAACCTCCTCTTTGCTTTTCTTCTTTTGTTGTTTCTTCAGAGCTAATATGTTGGCATTTGTGTTGCAGGACATGTAGGGTAGAAAGATTTCATTCTTGGATGTTTTGGTCCTGGGCTCTTTATATTTTTTGTTCAAGGACTATCTGACATCATATTGGTACACACCATCTTTAAAGAGATTTAAAAGCTTTCAGATTCCATGAGCTCTTTTGGGCCCCAACCCTTAAGTACAGTAGTATATGTCAACCATTGAGGTCGGTAGTATCTGTCAGTCCAGGAACACACACACACATGCCCTTTCTTTCTCTCGCTTCCTCTTTCTTTAACTCCCCGCTTCTTAACGGTAGAGAATGTTCAGATTGATGTCCAGAATGCATCCCAGAACAGATTTGCACTTCCTCTCTTCAGTTCTTGCTCTGTAAGTAAAAACGCCCCTTCCTTACTTAACAGCAGGTGCCCTCTTCTGTGGTTCAAGACACCTTGCTTCATGGGAAAAGCTTGTTGTTCCCACCACTGATTCCTACCACAATTAACCTCTGTGGCCATGTGCTTCTCATAGAAAATATGAAATCTGTGTTCATCACCCACTTCAATGAACTTCTGGCAGCTGATGGTCTGGGAAAGGGATATTAAGCTTTATCTTTTTTTTTTTTTTTTGGTTTTTCGAGACAGGGTTTCTCTGTGGCTTTGGAGCCTGTCCTGGAACTAGCTCTGTAGTCCAGGCTGGCCTCAAACTCACAGAGATCCGCCTGCCTCTGCCTCCCGAGTGCTGGGATTAAAGGCGTGCGCCACCACTGCCCGGCCATTAAGCTTCATCTTGACATGGCTGACTGCCTAGGAGGTGCCACAAAAAGGAGCTCTTCTTTTCTTAATCACAGCTGATTCTTCAACCCTAGCTGACCAGTATGGATTGTCCCAGCAAAGCCAAGATTTCACTTTTGTGGTTCTGATCTTTTGTTAATGAAAGCTAATTCTTCTGCACCAGCTGACCAGAACCACAGATTCTTAATTCAAATATGGATTGGTCCCCAAATAGTCTTTAAGGGACTCAAACTTTCCTCTGAAACTACAAAAACTAGGCCTCTGCTGTCTGCTCTGATCTCAGCATTATCTTCTGAGTTCCCACAGCAGCTCTTTAAGCTCTGAACACTTTGGGTTTTCCAGCTCAAAGTTTTAATGTCCTTTAGCAGTCATCCCCCAAACATGGTCAGGTCTATTATAGTAATGTCCTATAATTTAGGTACCAATTTTTATCTTAGGGATTCTTTTCTGTTGTGAAAAAAACACCATGACCAAAGCAAATTGAGGAGGAAAGAGTTTATTTCAGCTAATAGCTCTCAGGTCACACCCCACCATTCAAGTCTGAGCAGGAGTTTGCAGGGAGGAATTGAGGCAGATGTCATGAAGGAACACTATTTATTCTTACTGGCTTGATCCTATGACTTGATCAGCCTGCTGCCCAAAGATGGCACTGCCCCCAGTGTGTCGGCTTTCCTATATCAATCATTAATCAAGAAAATGCACCCACAGGCTTGCCTACAGGCCATCTCACAGAAGCATTTTAGGTATAGATTTCTTTTTATAACTTTGCTTGACTTCTGGGCTTTATGGCTAAGGATCTATATTTCAGTCACTATAGTATTGAGAGAATTAATTTGGCATTTGCTGAGATAGGCAAAACTCCACGAAGAATGAGTGTTTGTGTGAATGTTCAATCTTAAGTTTGAGGTACATTTTAGGTATCAAAAGAGCTGAATGCCAGGCAGTTGATATGTGATGTAAGGATATAGTGGAAGATTTGGATTGAAATACATTTTTGTTTGTTTGTTTTTGAGAGGTGTCTCTGTGTAGACCAGGCTGCCCTTGAACTCACTCCGAAGTGCTGGGTGTTCATTACCGCACCTGGCCTGCAATTGTTTTTTCCCAGTGTTGGGATGGAATTCAGAAATGGAAATTTGTGAATTACCTAATGTTTGTTTATTAAAAAAAAAAAAAACAGCCAGGCGGTGGTGGCGCACGCCTTTAATCCCAGCACTCGGGAGGCAGAGGCAGGTGGATCTCTGTGAGTTCGAGGCCAGCCTGGTCTACAGAGCTAGTTCTAGGACAGGCACCAAAGCCACAGAGAAACCCTGTCTCGAAAAACCAAAAAACAAAAAAAAACAAAAAAAAAAAAACAGTCTTTTAAAAGATTAGGAAGGAAGGTTGGACATGGGGGACATTCTTTAATCCCACCCAGCACTAGGAAACAGGTGAATCTCTGAGTTCAAGGCCATCATGGTCTACGGAGAGAGTTCCAGGACAGACTCCGAAGCTATAGAGAAACCCCTGTCTCAAAAAAACAAAAACAAACAAACGAAAAAACCCACACAAAACAAAACCAAAAACAAACAAAAAATTCCTTCAGATTGGCGTGTGGGCCTGTCTGTGAGGCATGTTCTTTTTGGGGGTGGACGTAGGGGGTATCTCTGTGTAGCACCAGCTGTCCTGGAACTCTGTAGACCAGGCTGGAATGGTGTCTAGGTCAGAGATCCATCTGGCAGGGCACATTCTTAATTGTTATTTGATGCAGGAAGGCCTAGCCCACTGTATTTGGTGCTGTTCTTAGGCAGGTGGGCCTACACTGTTTAAGAAAGGTAGCTGTCAGTCGCATTTCTCCATGATCTCTGCTTCAGTCTTTGCCTTGACTTCCCTCAATGATGAACTGTTAGTTGGAATTTAAAATGAAACAAACCTTTTCCTCCTCGAGTTGTTTTATCACCACAACAAGAAAACAAACTAGAACAGACAGACACATCATTCAAATCTGAGAACTTTAGATGCTTGTGACATTTATTTTGATTCTTAAGTATTTTATTTTAACTATTGAAGGCTAATTTTGTCTATACTTTGTTAATTACAGTGCAATCATCTTGTAGGTTCTATAAGTATACATTGTCTGAATATTTGCTGATTCAATGTTTGTGGATAAATATACTATCATTTTTTGTAAAACTGTGTGTGCTTGAAGAAAGTGGGTCTTTTCTATGTGGGATGCAAAATAGGCATGCATTCATCAAGTTGAACTTGTTAATTGTGTTAAAACTTTAAAGAATACCTTTCCTGATTAGAAAGAAATGTATTAAATGTATGTGATATAGAATTGTTTAATTCTCATTGAATTTTTGCTTTTTTTAAAATCTTTGATGTGGTTGATCTTACATAAGATGGACACACAAATTTGGTAGATTAAATGTTTATAATCATTTAATAACTTACTGTATTTCCCATCCAGAAATTTATGAGCCCTACCCTGTTTAGCTTCCAAGATCAGATGAGATAACTAACTACTTTCTGGGTGGATCATAGATAACCTGCTTTATTTCTGTTGATTTTTTTCCTTTGACTAGAATTTTGTTTATTATCTTTTTATATCGCAGTACCATTAGCTATTATGTGCCCTTAGCCTTTCTAGCAATACCTGATAGCTTAGGCTGGGCTTTTGTTTTCCTCTAAGTTAAATGTGGCTGTTACTTTTGGCTCTTTTAAATGGCTTAGGATGACATTAGTTCCTCTTGAGGCTTACTGTAAGATTCTCACACTTGCTTTGTTTCCTCTGGCACAGCACTGTCAAATCATGTTTACGTCAGTGGAATTATTTTAATGATTTATTTAGATGTGCCAGCACCGATAATCATAGCGCCTATTTAGTGGATTAAAACAAGATTAAATACCACACACATTTTTGTGCATCTATTGTGAATTTATTTCCTTAGATTAGCAGGCTGTAAACTTGTAAACCATCCTTGAACTCTCTGTTTTAGTCCCAGAAATCCTGGATAGAGAGCACTTTGACCAAGAGGGAGTGTGTGTATATTATACCAAGCTCCAAAGACCCTCACAGGTAAGCATGCATTGGTTTCATCTAGAATCTTCTAGGAATTTAGATGTAAATTTATTGTTATTTGCTTATAGTAAACAAAATAATATAAGGTCACTGTTAATTTTTCTTTTGAGAATGGAAAAGGAGACTAAGCAAGTTACTAGTGCTCTGGAATTTCTTTCCTCGAACTGTTTGCCTGTCTTGGAACCCTAACTGTCTAAGCACAATAGAAGCTACAATAAAGTTCTTACCACTACCACCTCATCCTGAAAACAAAAGATACTTCAGGGGGGCTGGAGAGATGGCTCAGAGGTTAAGAGCATTGCCTGCTCTTCCAAAGGTCCTGAGTTCAATTCCCAGCAACCACATGGTGGCTTACAACCATCTGTAATGGAATCTGGTGCCCTCTTCTGGCCTGCAGACATACACACAGACATAATATTGTATACATAATAAATAAATAAATATTAAAAAAAAAGAAAAAGAATTTAAAAAAAAAGATACTTCAGAATTTGTTTAGTGGACATATTAATATGCACTTACGGTTGGTCCTGAAGAATATGAGCCCCGTGGACACTTCTGCCTTCTTGCTTGGAGATTAATCCTAAGGCCTCTCACATGTTCCTGTCTATGTATATAGAATAATATTTACTAGAAAAACTGTCATCAGAGAATATGGGTATTCAATTGCCTTTTTTTGTCTTTCAAATGGCTTTGAGAGGAAGGGAATTTGATAGTTAAGACATTATAAATAAGGAAAAAGTTGATCTTGTGAAACATCTAAGAAGTAATCTCAATATAACTAGAGAGAGAGAGCTCATCAGTTAAGAGTGCTGACGCTCTCATAGAGGACCCAAGTTCAGTTTCCAACATCTGTATCAGACTGCTAGCAACTGCTTGTAACGCCAACTCCAGGGGATCTGGCACTCTGATGTGAACTATGCTGTCATTCATGCATAGATACCCCCCACAGTTACACACATGTGCATAGAATTACAAATAAAATTAAAAATAAAAGAAAAAGAAACATTCTTGGGCCAATGAGATATGGGCCAGTAGGTAAAAAGGCTTTCTGTACAACCCTGATGAGCAGGGTTCAGTTCAATACCCATGACCCACAGTGGAGGAGAGAGCTGACCACTGAAGTTATCCTTTGCCATGCGCACACACACTAGGAAAATGGCAGAGAAAGTGGGTATTTATTTAGTGGGCTATGGAGGGGAAAGAGAAGGGGGGGAAGGGGAGAAAGATGAAGAGCAGAAAGAGAGAAATGGGGGGAAGGAGAGGAGAGAAGAAGTTATCTCTTCGAGAGAGACAAAAAAAGGGAAAAATATATTCTTAAGATTTTTTTTTGTTTTTTTGAAGTGTAAACTTAGTAAGAAATAAATTAAAAATACAAATCAAAGGTTATTTCCTAATTTTACAAGGGAAGAAACATGGCAAGTGGTTCTCAACTTTCCTAATGCTGTGACCCTTTAATATAGTTTCTAATGTTGTGGTGACCCCAACCATAAAATTATTTTGTTGCTACTTCATAACTAATTTTTTTATGAATCGTAAATATCTGATCTGTAGGATATCTGATATGCAACCTCCAAAGGGATCATAGCCCACGTGTTGAGATCTGCTGATTTAAAAGACCTTTGGATTTTCTCACCCCTTCCTTCTGTCAAACCCTGTTCTCTGTCAAATAAACTTGCTCTGTAACTTTAACTTCTATTGAGTATGTGATTATTTTTTTCTTTTTCTTTTTTTCTTTCATTTGGTTAGTCTCTTCTTTCCTCCCCAGTGTGTAGCCCTGCCTGTCTTCACGCTCAAGGCAGTCCTTCAAAGTGCTGGGATTACAGCCACAGGTCACTCACTATACCTAGTTGGGCATATGACTCTTTCAAAAATTGCTAAAAAGATCAGCAGTGAAGCTCTGGGCTTGATCCATAGCAACACACAGGAAAGATTTTTGTCAATAATAATTTTTGTTGTTTTTAGTGTTTAAGGACTCCACTGTTAGTTTATGTAGCGCTAAATGATTTTTAAGTGTGTTAATTATGACCGGTAGCAAATACAAGTAGGCCCTTGATTGAATATTGTCTAAGATAGTGCATTCTGTTATCTTCAAGAAATGGTGATAAGTGGAAAATACTTTTTTTTTTTTTTTGACATATGCTATTCTTTTTCTCTTTGTTTTTTCAAGATGGTTTCTCTATAGTCCTGGCTGTCCTGAAACTAGATCTGTAGACCAGACTGGCCTGCCTCTGCCTCAGCCTCTTAGTGTCCCCTCCCACTCTCCCTCCTTTCTTTCTTTCAAGGTTTTTTGTTTGTTTTTGTTTTTAATGTGCCTATTTGAATGGGTGTTTTGCTTGCACACATTTAAGTTTCTCCTTTGCACGCATGATACCCGTGGAGGCTGGAAGCCAGTACTGATTCCCTGGATCTAGAGTTACAAGTGGTTGTGAGTGTCCATGTGTTTGCTGGGAACAGAACTGAATCCTTAAAAACAGCAAGTACTCTTAACTTCTGAGCTATCTCTCCAGCCCATTTTTCTTTTGTTTTAGGACTGGGCCTTGTTGTGTTGCTCAGGTTAGTTTTTGAACTACTGAACTCAGGTGACGATAACAGTTTAGTTCTCTGGTTGCCAGGATTGCTGAAACTGTCAGTTCATACCTGCCTTACTTGCCTTACCTGCCTCTTGATTTTTAGTTGGCCAAAATAGTATATGATATAAATTTGAATTTAGTTGATTAGTCTTGGAAAAGTATTTTTAAAAATGTTCTCCAGATTTTAGTAAATTCCTGAAAAAGGTTTTTCTTTAGTTGTGTGTGTTTGTGTGTGTGAGTACTTGTGTGTATGGGTGTTTGTGTTCATGTGGAATGTGTGCATTCATGTGGCAGCCATCCATCTTACTCTTTGAAACCCAGTGGCCAGGCTGGATGGTTTGCAAGCTCTAGGGAGCCCTCCAGCTCTGGGGTTTCAGACATGCACTGTTGTGTCTATTCTCCCCCACCTCCTTTCTCTTTCCTAAATGTGAGTGCTGGGAATCTAGATGCAGGTCTTTATGCTTGTGTGGCAAGTATTTTACTGACTGAGGCAAATTTCCAGACCCTGCAGAAATCTTTAACTCTCCCAATCATTATATAACCTTAATATCCCTTAAAATAATTAGATTCTGTGATTTCCCCCCCCCCCCAATATCTTATAGTTTACTAAAGGTGAGTTCTGTTGTTATATCACAGGGAAACACCATGAGTAGTTCCTAACACTGGGGTTTATATTTAGGATCCTGATTTACCATGCTAGTTCTCAGATACCATTTTTCTTTTAGAAAAGAATGATTTTTTTTGGTTTATTAAAAATTATGGATTTGGAGCCAAGGACGGCATATGCCTTTAATCCTAGCACTTGGGAGGCATAGGCAGATGGATCTCCACGATTCCAGGCAAAATCAAGTTCCAGGACAGCTAAGTTATACAGAGAAATTCTGTAAAAACAAAGCAAAACAAATGCTACCAAGACCCTCCCAAAACATTACGCCAACTACAAAAACCAATGGATTTGACAGGGTCCGTGGTGGTGCACACCTTTAATCCTAGCGTGTGGCATTTGGATTTCTGAGTTCAAGGCCAACCTTTTCTATGTGTAGTCAGTTTTAGGCCAGACAAAGCTGTATAGTGAGACCCTGTACCCCCCCCCCCCGCCCCCCAAAAAAGCAATTCAATACAAAAAAAGAAGCAATACAATAATAGATTGTATTGTTGATAAGTTTGTTATGATTTTGTTAGTTTTACTCTGCAGTAGAAATAATATAATCTCCAGACATTAAAAAAAACACAAGCTGTTATCAAATAAAAAATGAAAGTCTTCCCACTACTATTCTTTGGCCATAATATTCTGGTACTGTCCATTCCTTGACATTCCTTCCAGAGAGACCTGGTTAAAGAGCAGTCAGCGGTGAGTTCTCATCGCTAGCACTCATCTGAAAGCTCCTAGAAATAGTCTTTGCATGTTCAAGTACATACTGTTTTATCTGTTGTGTGCTACTTCATTCTTTCTCTTTGTTTTCTTTTGAGACAGGATCTTACTGTGTAGCCCTCACTGGCCTGAGACTTGGCTCTGTAGACTAGACTGATCCAGAACTACAGCCATCCTGCTGCCTTTCACACGCACCATCTCACCTGACTTAAACTTTACCCCCTGTACTTTCTAAGTGGTACTGGGGCTAGAACTCAGCCTTGCATGTTCTAGGCAAGTCTCTACCACTAAGCTATATTCCCAGCTTATTTTCTCCTCATTTGTTGCATTTTTGAGTTCTATGTCTGGATCATTTGTGTTAGTATGGTAGTTCCTTATTGATGAACAGTTATATTCTCTTTTTCTCTTTGATGTTAAAAATGCTAGAATGTATTATCTTATAATTTTCATTTTTTACATATACTTCAGATATTTTAGGCTGGCTTTAGCATATATTTTCAAAATATATTTTGGAATATATTTTGATTATCAGTGCTAGGGAGTTGAACCCAGTGTTTTATGCCTGTTAGGCAGGTGTTCTACCACTGAGCTACATCCCCAGTTCTAACCCAAACTTCTAGAACTTGAGACAGAGTGTGAGGAGTTGGTATTTTTTATTTTATTTTGACAAGTATAAAATTGTCTTTCATAAAAATACAGTTCATAAAATATAGTTCACCTTAATGTAAATGCTCTAAATGTTCATGAAGCTATTCAAATATTTTTAAGTCTTTCCTAATTTAATCTTTATGTTTTTCTGTGAGCTCTTCATATTTTTCCATTTTTGTGTTTGTTTTTTTTTTTTTAACAAATTGATTTGAGAAAGCTCTATATAATGGGGAAATTCTTTTTTTAAAGTTCATGTTTAGATCTTATTAGTTGCATGTAAACATGGTTTTATATAGTTAAATTTGTCTTTTTACTCTGTTGTAGTTGCTTAGTTTTATTTCAGAATTAATGGTACTTAAAATATAAATCTATTAAAGCCAGGTGGTGGTGGTGCACACCTTTAATCCCAGAACGTGGGAGTTAGAGAAAGGAAGATCTCTGTAAGTTTGAGGCCAGCCTGGTCTACAGAGCTAGTTCCAGGACAGGCTCCCAAGCAACACTGTCTCAAAACAAAAAAGAAAAAACAATCTATTTAAATATAAAGGGTTAGTTGAATGTATAAACCAACGTATGCATGATCTATGGTATCTACTGAAATGATATATTATGGTTTTCCTTTGTTTCATACTTATATGAATTTAAATAGTTAATTTTAAGATAAATATTTTTGTGAAGTAATAACTTTCCTTTCTGCATTTTATAGATGTCTTCCAGGATGTCAGATCTGTCAGCAGCTTGTCAGGTAAGTTTAGTATGAATTGCAGAAATTTTGAAAAATATGATATATGAGAAACACCTAGGTATTCGAGGCCAGTCTGGTCTGCAAGAGCTAGTTCCAGGAAAGGAACCAAAAGCTACGGAGAAACCCTGTCTCGGGGAAAAAACAAAACAACAAAAAAAAAAAACGCTAGGTATAACACAACGGTATAAAATTTACGTGATAGTATACTTAAAGGACATTTTGTTCAAAGATTTGACAATGGTGCTTCAAATTTAAAGGTACTACATCAGGTTTGTGAGAGTCTTAGTTGACCAGAGAGTTGAGGGACAGGGGATTCTGAAAAGCAAAAGAGGCTGTAGGAAGATCTGACAGTTAAAGATACTGTGGTTCTATCGGGGAAACAACTGTAAGATACAAATTGTGGTTTGTAGGCTGGGCTGCCAGCATTCAGGAGATTGGCAGGCAGATCTCTGAGCTCAAGTAGTAAGTTCCCAGCCAGCCAGGGCTATACAGTAATTCCCTGTCTTAAAACAAAACAAAACAAAACAAAACAAAACAAAAACAATTGGAGAGAAATAAATAGGGACCAGATCATTTAAGTATAGTATATGGTATGTCTTTTACTTCTGATTTTCCATTAGAAAATTTGATTTCTTTTAGAAGAGGTAGGTAGCAAACTGGAGATATGGCTTGTTTGTTAAAAACATTAGCTGTTCTTCCAGAGGATCCAAGTTTGATTCCCAGCACCCACATGGCTGCTCCCAACCAACTGTAGCTCTAGTTCCAGGGGATCCAGTGTCTGCTTCTAACCTTTGTTGGAATTACTTGAATGTGATGCACATAAATATTCAGATATATACTCATACACATGAAATTAACATACTAGATTTTCTTCTTCCTCTTCCTTTACAACCATCATTCTTTCTGCATGTTTTTGAAAATAGAATCTCACACAGCCCACACTGGCTTTAAACTTCTTGACTGAGGCTGGTCTTGTTCCTACTCCTCTTGCTTCCACTTCCCAAGTGTTGGGGTTACAGGTTTGTGCCACCACACCTGGGCAGAATTTATCATTTTTAATTTATATTCATGTGACTATGTTTTTTTATTAGGTTATATTCTAGCTTGTTTTAGGGTTTTTTCTCTTTACCATTTTCAGCAATGCCCTAGTATGACCTGTCTACCTATATCTATTTGTCTGTCTGTCTGTCTATACCTACCTACCTATCTGTCTATTTGAGACGAGGTCTGTGTAGTCCTGGATGCTTTCGAACTCACAGAGATTCACCTGCCTCTAATTCTTTTAACTGCTGGGATCAAAGGTGTGCGCACCCCCACTCCTGGCCCTAGTAAGGTTTTGTTTATTCCTGGCTGGTCTATATTTTTTGTTGAACTAAAGATGTAGAGTCAAGAATTTTCAAATTTGGATTTTTTTTTTTTTACTTCAGCGTGTTTCAAATTTTAGTCCCCCATTTCTTCCTTTTGGAAGTTTAAATTATATATTTTGAGGTATTTTATATTATTCTAACTTTTAAAACGTCTTCCAGTTCTCCTTCATTGTGTCTGTATTTTCCTCAGCTATCTGGGGCATAGTCTTAATATTTGGTGCTTATTTCTAATACTTCTTTTATATCATCTGTCATTTTTTATTTTATTTATTGCCCCCCCCCCCCTTTTGAGACAGGGTTTCTCTGTGTAGCCTTGGCTGTCCTGGAACTGAATTCAGAAATCTGCCTGCCTCTTCCTCTGCCTCTAAGTGCTGTGATGAAAGGTTCTGCCACCACCATTCAGCCTATTTTTTCCCATTGATCTACTACTTTTTTACTTCATTGCATGCCTAGGATAAACACTTTTTCAGCTTTGTTGCTATTTCTTTTGTTTTATTTAAGATAGGATTTTTTTTTTAATTATACCTAGTAAACCTCAAGCTTATGGTCATCTTTTCATGTTCTCTCAAGTATTTGTAAGCTACCATGTGTTGCTTCATGCTTGGGAAGTTATTTTTTATCTATCTATCTATCTATCTATCTATCTATCTATCTATCTATCTTCAGTTTTTACTTGTTTAATTTTATTTAATACTCCCCCCCCCCCCCTTTGAGACAGGGTTTCTCTATGTAGCCCTGACATTCCTGGAACTCACTTTGTAGACCAGACTGGCCTTGAATTCACAGATCTGCCTGCTTCTGCCTAGAAGAGTGTTGGGATTAAAGGTGTGTGCCACCACTACCAGTGAACGGGCTCTTTATCTTAATATGCTTTTGCTTTTTACCTTTAGGTGTTTCTGTGGTCGTTTGGTCAAGCAACATGCTTGCTTTACTGCAAGTCTTGCCATGAAATACTCAGATGTGAAATTGGGTGAACATTTTAATCAGGCAGTAGAAGAATGGTCTGTAGAAAAGCACACGGAACAGAGCCCAACAGATGCTTATGGAGTCATCAATTTTCAAGGGGGTTCTCATTCCTACAGAGCTAAGGTATGCCACTTGATTATTTTATATTTCATTTATCTTGTAATATGTGTAGTGCCAAAACAGAAAGTAAGGTGCAGTACATATAAGTTCTTTATTATAAGGGTTGACACAAGTACAGAAATTATTGTATTTTTGCAGATCAAATAATTTATCATTATAAAAAGTGTTTATTTTATTGACAGAATCTTTGTTTTCTGAAAGGAGGGCTAAACCTTTTTTTTTTTTTTTTGCCTTTTAAACTTTTCTTAAGGTAAAAGATTCATTTTCTTGAGAAGCCAAAGTATTAGGATCATGTGAATCTACTGTTGGGATCAATCTAGGTAGTATAGAAAAAGCCTGTCTGCTAAACAAAATCAAATCCCCCAAAGTGTAGTATATATAGTCTTTTTTAAAATTAAATCTTTGTATTTGATTTTAAATGTAACCATCATAGTATTAGCTATCTATTTGTCTCCCTTTGTCTTATATTGTTTTTAAGTTTTTTAATTAGTGGCTTCCTTTACTTATACATTATTCTTGTGTTCTTTAGTATAATCTTGTAATAAACACAGTTTAACTTGCTCTCCCTTTAACCACTCTCCAATGTAAAAATGTTCAGAATATCTGTAACTGCACTGTTTCTCTTGTGGCTTATGTGCATTTGTTGGCAGGAATTTAAATTCTGTGTATTTTAAAATTCTGTAATGTAATTGTTAATTATTTACATTGACATTTTATAAACTTTGCATTGTTCCTCCTCCCTGGCTTAGGAAGAGCAGTGCATATTCATCTCCAAATTTTCCTAATTTAATCTCATAAATTCTTACTGCTTTCGTAGCAGCCTGATTCCTAAAACACATGTTATTTGTCTTAATGCTTCCTGTTCTTTTTGTACTCATAGTTAAACAGGGCAACAAATGCTTTGGATAGGTTAATTGATAATTGAGTATAAGTAGGTAAATTGACATTTGAATCTTAATTTGTATAAGTTACAGTACTAGTACTAAATATCACAAGAATTTTTCCAAATTTAAAGGCTGTTTGCTATTTTATGTTTTTAGGAATGTAAATACTATCTAATTTATGTGTATTTTTTGTTGGTGATTTTTTTTTTTTTTTAAGGCAGGGTTTCTCCATATAGCCCTGGCTAACCTGGAACTCACTCTGTCCCACCAGCCAGCTCGTGAATAATGACACAGAGACATTATGAAAGCTTGACCTTTAGCTTAGACTTATCTCAACTAGCTATTATAGCTTAAATTAACCCATTTATATTAATCTATGTTTTGTCAAGTGGAGTTAGCCTCTTTTATCTTACACCTCGTGTTTCCTCTCTGTATCTCCTGACTCCTCGTGCCTACATTCCTCCTTACTTTCTTTCCCCAGTAATCTGGCCTATACCTTCTACCTAGCTATTGGCTGTTCAGATTTTTAATCACATCAGTCACAGCAATATATCTTCACAGTGTACGAATATGCCACATTTCCCCCACTTGTTTAAAAAGGAAAGGTTTTAACTCTAATAAAACTATATGATAAGAACAATTATCAGGTTAAGAATTACATTCACAATGTCCAGTCCATTTGTATTTGGCAAATTTGGAGAAAGTACTGTATATCTGTCTAACTTAAGGGGTCTAAAGTTTTAGCCCCAAACCACTGTCTATCATAACTTGTATTATCACCCTAAAAAAATCTTTTTAAACAACTTAAGCGCTTATGTTTCTCAATCTTATAAACTTTATATCTCTTATATAAGTTTCTTTTCTGAATTTGGTAACAAGAGAAATTATAACTATATCTGGTCTTCAACCCAACAAAGACTCAAAAAGGATACACTATTACCCAAGTAAACAGGAAGTACAGAACAAACAACTTCTAAAACTATGGAAATGACAGAAACAGTTGGCTGCCTGGACAGTCACCAAAGGTTCCTCTGCAATATTGGGGCATAACCATCCTTGTCCTATGTGTCTAAAAATTCTGACAGGCTTTTTTTTTTTTTTTTTTTTTGTGAAGAAGGAATTTTGAAGAATTTTTGAAGAACTGTCTTACCTTGTCTTGGCAAAGTTCAGCAGTTGCTTTCTTTTGCATCCTATTTTTCCAGTTTGAACAGGATACTGTCAGCAGTTGAGGCAAGGGCAGTTTCTTTGGCCGATGGCTAACATTTCCACAAATGAAAGCAAATTCCATATGGAGTTTCTTCAATGCCTATTTCTTTGTTGAAGTAAATGATGTTGCCAGGAGGTGACATGTCTTACTGTCATGAAAAACTTGAAGTTATTAAAAATTAAAATATTTTTAGTGCCATATTCTGTAGATCATGAAGTGTTTGAACACCATCTATTTAAAATATGTTTGACCTTGAAAAGATACTGACACCAGTTTGATTATTATAGATGACTAACTAATAACCTGTCCTTATTATTCTAAATAACTTTAAAGGACTAAAACTTGACATTACATTTTTAAGTGAGCTGCATAGGTCTAATACTTTAAACAAGAGCAGAAACAGATACAGTGTATAACAAAAATAACCTCAAATTTGTATGAATATACAAAAATCCATATCAGTGTAAAATGTTTGAGACTAGTGGTTGTTCAAAAGTAGACTCAATAACTCACCCTTTTATCCCAGTGTTTCTATGTTCAGAATTCTTTTTTCCCCTCAGAAAGAGATCCCTCAATCTGATCTGCTTTGCTTAGCTTTTTTCCTGGCCACTGTATAATAACTTAGAACCAACCCCCCTAAACAATGACAAACATTCAAAACCCAACAAATGACCACTTATTCCACCTCTTGGGAATGTGGGTGTCTGGTGTTCTAGACAGCTTCCTGTTGTCTGGGGGTGATGGTATCTCTAGGGGACCCTGAAAAAATTGGGATAATGATCAAAGCCTGGGAGAGCTAGGTGAATTATTTTTTGTTTTGTTTCTGATGGGAAAGTATAGAGCTTATCTAAAGTCTTGACTGGATAGTCTGTTTGGCTGGGCCATCTGAGCTAGCAGTTTAGAAGTTGTTTTGAATGCAGAATTTTGAAGAAACTGGCAGAGGCATTCTGAGAGGCTGGATCTCTTCTTATTGTTGTCTGGTCCTTTCTTTTTTCTGAAAGCACATAAACTTTTAAAAGATTATATGTATGTGTGTGTATATATATATATATATACACACACACATACATACTTACACACACATATCTGCACTAACCATGGAATATGCAGTGTGCATAAGTCAGTTAAAGTTTTTTTTTTATGTTTGAGCAGGTAAAAGTCATCCATCAACTGTATGTCTGCTTGGACTCTATAGGCAAACCTCTTATCCATACCATATGAAAATATGGCATATAATAAGTCATGAGGACTCTGTAACCAGTCAGATTTATCATATTGCATCCAGTCTCAGAGATGTTCCCATGTTGAGGGATCAACATATACATCACCTGTCCTGTAGTCTTTTTTTCCTTATGTGTTGCCAAGGTTTTCAGGTCTTCCCCCATTCAAATCTGATCTTCATTAATTTTTTAAGAGAACCATAACTTTTTCTTTCCTGTGGAAACAAAGGCATGACCTCTTCCCCAATACAACATACTTTTTGACTTCCATTTGAAGGTAAGACATTCTTAAAATATATAGGTTGGTTTAATTTAGCAATTCCTTTCATAATCCAGTGTCTCTTAGCAGCTGTTGTTTTCTTATCAGCATTCAAAGAATTTAAAGTCAAGAAAGCACCATACAGGATCCAGATGCCCTGTGCATTTCCCGTGTTTACATGGCTTATTTTTTTTTAAATATATTGCTTTACTCTTTCTCTAAAGACTATTATTTTTAAAATTTTTTTTTCTGTGACTGTCTATACCCATTTTTCATTGTACCTGTTTAGTGGTTTTCTTGGTCTGGACTGCTTTACTGCGCCACCTGTAGCTTTCTCTGACCATGAGCCAAGCCTTAAACCCACTGTGTGGCTTTGTTGGTGGCTGGCTCCATCCTGCTTGGGTCTGTGAGAGCAAAGCCTTACTCCTGCAGAATCAGCCTGCAGCACCAGCTGGGGGCAGCATTTACCTGCTTCAGCTCTGGGAATTTGCTGAGCCCGTGCTGTTTCTGCTTAGTGCTGTTCAAGTGCTCACTGTACAGCAGCCCCCCTGTGTAAGCCGCTAGCACTGGTTTCTAGGAAGCCGTGTTTGTTTTGTTTTGTTTTACTTGCTCACTTGTTTGTTTGTTTAGATTTCTCAGGCCCTACATGGAAATACTTGCCTAGAAGGTGGGCACCGTATGTAACAAGTCTTTCTCTGTTCTGCCAGCCAGCTCCCAAAATGACACAGAGACTTATTAATTATGAAAGCTTAGCCTTTAACTTGGACTTGTCTCAGTTAGCTCTATGACTTAAATTAACTTATTTATATTAATCTACGTTCTATCACATGGTGTTACCTCTCTTCCATATTGTGCTTCCAGTTTCCTTTCCATGTCTCCTAGCTTCTGCATGCCTAGATTCCTCCTCCTTTTTTCTTTTCCCCCAAATCTGGCCTATACCTCCTGCCATTCACCTTTTTGTTACACCAACCACAGCAATATATCTTCACAATGTACAAATATCCCACAACAACTCTGTAGACCAGCCTGGCCTCAAACTCACAGAGATCTATGTGCATATGCCTCTCAATTGCTGGGATTAAAGGCATACACCACCACCTCCAGGCTAATAAATTTTTTGAATATCAGATAATATTGCATTATTAAATCTGTGAACATAGTTATTTTGACCCTTTGTTTGTTTTAGTATGTGAGACTGTCATATGATACCAAACCTGAAATCATTCTGCAACTTCTGCTTAAAGAATGGCAAATGGAGTTACCCAAACTTGTTATTTCTGTACATGGAGGCATGCAGAAATTTGAGCTTCATCCGAGAATCAAGCAGTTGCTTGGAAAGGGTCTTATTAAAGCTGCAGTTACAACCGGAGCTTGGATTTTAACTGGAGGAGTAAACACAGGTAATATGAACACTATCAGTTTTATTAAATATATTTGTCAGTCTCTCATATCAGTTGGGCATTTGAAATAATAAATTATAAATAGATTTGATTCTTAATCTGTAATTCGTGATAGTATCATTGATAAAAATAACTTAATCTGCTTGGTTGTCATTCAGGCCATTAAAATATATACTTTAGAGTAAAAGTTGGCAAAGTTAACCTGTGTGTCAAATCCAGGTAGTTAATCCTTGTTCTTATGAATAAAGTTTGATTTGAACATAACCACGTTCATTTGTCTATATCTTTTTTTGTGCTCAATATCAAACTTGAGTAATTGTAACAAAGACTGGTAAGTAAATACTCTGCACAGCCAGAATGCTTACTGCTTTTCCTTTACAAAAATATCTGCAGACCCTTCTGTAAAGCAAAGTGTTAATTTCTGACTCCCAATACACTGGTAGAAGAATGATAATCTGCTCCTTTGGTAGTGGTAAAGGCATGTCCTTTGGGGATGAGAGAGATGGCTCTGCAGGTAAGAACCCTGGCTGCTCTTGCAGAGGATGAGTTTTGTTTCCAGTACTCACGTGGTATCTCACAATTGTCCAGTTCCTGGGCATCAGACATCTTTTGGCCCATTCACTAGGGACGGTTGTGACTCACATACATGCATGCAGGTAGACATATATACACATAAGAATAAAGTTGTGAAAAAGTAGCCTTCAAAAATTAATTTTTCATCTGTTAGTCCCCTTCATTCAAGATCTTTTCTCTTTTTTATGGTGTTTTATATAATGTTTTAATTTTGATTATAAGGAGGATAGGTTAATTTTAATGATTAAAGCTAAACATAATTATTTATTTAAATCATCTTATGCATCTCATTCATTCATTATTGATAATTATTGAACCTTACTGTAAGGCATTCTTTGAGCTATAGGGTATATATTGTTCTTTAAAATAGATACTTTCAGTATTATAGTGGGGGTTATGTAAACAATAAGAGGATAATTTAGGTATGATTAGTGTATTTTATGATCAGTTCTATGTAGACATATGGAGACCTGACTGTCTCTTCACTTTTCAGTTCAGTCAAGTTGATAAGAGTAAACACACATGGTGGCTCACAACCATCTATAATGAGGTCTGGTGTCCTCTTCTGGCCTGCAGACATATACACACAGACAGAATATTGTATACATAATAAATAAATATTAAAAAAAGAGTAAACAGATTTTTATTGATAGCTTAATATTTCAAGAAAGATGTTAGGAAACAAAGGAACTTGGGACAGAGCATGTAGAGAAGAGAAAATCATTGGTGTATTGCAAGAATGAGGCGGTTCCTATGTGACATAAGGGAAAGTAAGCAAGCAGTGTTGGTCAGAAGTTCTTGGGAGATGGGAAAGCATGGTGATACGGAAGTGTGCTTACTACCAGTAATAGACAGATGCTTTTTAAGGTCTTACAAGCCATTACAAACATTGTAGCTTTTTCTTTTGAATAAGAAGGGAAGGTTTTAAGGTGCTGATTGGTAAGAACAAAGTTACTTGAATGTTTTTTGAAAATAGACTGTAAGCAAGGAAGGCAGTGGATGTTATTTTCTATGTTTTCTATAAAAGATGAGATCTAATATGTTACAAGAAGCAAACTAAAAGATATATCAGTGTTTAGTACTAGGCCTACCTACCAATGTGATAGATAGGATTTGATTTACAAGTGTTTTGGACTTGATATGATATTGTGGGGTTTTGTTTTCTTAATCTATTTAGTTATCTTAAATTTTTTGTTAGCTTGACTTTGGATCTTGCAGCCTTAGAATCTTTTATTTAAAGAAAAATCATGAATTGTAATATTATAAAGTAAATTCAGGTTGTTTTTTTTCTAATGGTGAATAAATTTTGTATGAACAGGTGTGGCAAAACATGTTGGTGATGCCCTCAAAGAGCATGCTTCCAGATCATCTCGAAAGATTTGCACTATTGGAATAGCTCCATGGGGAGTGATAGAAAACAGAAACGATCTTGTTGGGAGAGATGTAAGAATGGGTTTTGGCATGTCTTAAATTTCAGCTTGTAGACTATATTATACTTTCACATTAAGTTTAAAACAAAATTTCCAGCACCCCTTTCTGGTTTTTTTGAAAATGCATTTATCCATATAAATGCTTATAATATTGTTGGTACTTTTTGTTTTCTGTCTTTTATGTAGAATATTAACATATCTTCCACATCATATTAGTGTTTGTAATTGATTTGTTTGTTTGTTTGTTTGTTTTTTGAGAGCCATGGTTGTGCTAGAACTTGCTCTGTAGACCAGGGTCACCTCAAATACGGAGATCAGCCTGCTGATTATAACATTAAGGATTAATTTTGTCATTAAGAGTAGGAATCAAGGGCCGGGCAGTGGTGGCACACGCCTTTAATCCCAGCACTCGGGAGGCAGAGGCAGGCGGATCTCTGTGAGTTCGAGCCAGCCTGGTCTACAAGAACTAGTTCCAGGACAAGAACCAAAAAAAGCTACGGGGAAACCCTGCCTCGAAAATCAAAAAAAAAGTAGGAATCAAATGATGGTGCTTTATTTGAATAGGTTGAAAATGTGAGTTTGTTTGTAGATATTCAGCATGAGACTATTAAAATAAAATTGTGCACAGTGACACAGGCCTTAATGCCATCATGCAGCAGTGGTGGCAGAGGCACGCCAGTCTTGAGTTAGAAGCTAGCTTGATCTACGTTAGCAAGTGCCAGACAAGCCAATGCAATATAGTGAAATCCTGTCTCAAAAAAACAAAACAACAACAAAAACTGTAATTATGGAGATAATTTTCAATGTCAGCTTGAAAGGGTTGTATGTATGTTTTAGATAATAGCACTGTCATATTTTACTGCTTTCTTATTGTCGTCTGTGTATTGTACTTTACTCACTTAATAACCTTACAATTTATTAACACTGTATATATACTTCCTTATTGCTCCATTTGCATGTGGTAGTAAAAAACTCAATTTTGCAAAAAGGAGTAATTATGTGGTTTAATCTGTTATCTTCAGATACTTGAAAGTGTATGCTTTTTCTTTATATCTAAATGAAAATAGAATCTTATCTTTTATCTGTGGGTCACTTCAGAATTTAACTTATACTATATTACATTCAGTTTCCTTCCACTGTCTCTTGTTTTGCTCTTGTTTAGGTGGTTGCTCCTTACCAAACCCTATTGAATCCCCTGAGCAAACTGAATGTTCTGAATAATCTCCACTCCCATTTCATATTGGTGGATGATGGCACTGTTGGAAAGTATGGGGCAGAAGTCAGACTGAGAAGAGAACTTGAAAAAACCATTAATCAGCAAAGAATTCATGCTAGTAAGAATTCGCCCATTTGTTACTGTTTAATTATTCAAAATTGTGTTAGTAGCCAGCAGCATACTTAAAAGGTAGCATGTTCTGTGAAGTAAGTACACTTTTGTTTACATAGCAAATACACCTACAAAGCATCCAAAAATCGCTGATCTTAAACAAAATACTAAGACCCCCAAAAAGAAAATTTATTTATTTATTTATTTATTTATTTATTTATTTATTTATTTATTTATTTATTTATTTATTTTAGGCTTTGTTGCTCTTATAATCAACTGAAGCTCAAAGTACTTACTAACAGTCTTAATGTGTAGTAATGCTAATATGTAACTTTGGATCTTTGTGAATTTAAGGCCAGCCAGGGCTACACATAGAGAAACCCTGTCATGAGAAAAAAAGAATAAGAAAAAAAATATATATATATAGAAGCAATACCAGTTAAGTAAGAATGAGCTTTGCCTAAAGTTTATAAAGTGAGTCTGTATTGCTGTTGGCAAATGAATCCTAAAAGTTGATATTCTTGGAACAGATTTTCCTTTCCAACTGTGACTGAACTTTCTCCTTTAGCTTCTATATTTTATTACAAGTAGAAGAAGTTCTGTAACCCTAGTAAAAAAGAAGATGAACTCTGACAAAGTGATAACAGAAATACAAAATTACAGAAGCACACACATAGTAGTGTCATAATGTTTGTGTGAACTGTTAATTTAAAAAATAGAGCTAGAGAAATAGCTCAGCAGTTGAGAGCACTTGTTGCTGTTGGAGAGGACCTGAGTTCGGTTCCCAGCACCTACATGGTGGCCTACAACTGTCTGTAACAACAGTTCCAGGGGATACAGTGCCCTCTTCTGACCTTCAAGGACACCAGACATATACATGGTACATAGACCAACATACAGATTATTTTTATTTTATTACCCCCCCCTCCCGTGTCTGGGTGGGGGATGATTGGAGGTCGCAGAATAGCTCCTGGTAACTGGTTCTCAAGATCTGCTGTGGGACTTGGCAGTTGAACTCATATTGTCAGATGCTTTGCTCATCGAGCTGACTTGTACCCTGAGAACTAGTGATGATTTAAAAACCTGTGCTTAGAAATGTTTATGTTTTATCACCACATTTCAGGTTGCTGTAAAAATAAATGAAAATGAGTACTTTTTACTAATTTTTAAAAAAAAATTCATTTATTAAAAATGTAAGTTGGTATATGTTAGAAATTCAACCAATACAGTATTAAAATATAAAATAAGCACCCCATGGTGGCTCTTGCTTGTAATCACAGTTCTCAAGAGGCTGAGACAGGAGGATCTAATGCTGCCTGGGTTACATGGCAAGACTTTGAAAAATGATAAAAACAGAGTAACTAGGCAAACTAGGGCACAAATTAATCCTTATACATATATTGCCAAGAGCTCAGTTAATAAACACACAAAAGTTTGTTTTGAATTTAATATACAGATTCTGGTTGGCAGTAAATCATTTATTGAATTTCCTGATTTTATCACCCAGAACAGATGTTAGTGATTGTTTAGTGCTTCATTATTTGAGACTGGCTGTTACTAACATCCAGTGCTTAAAGTAAAGCCAACTGTCTCATAGGAAATTTTATCTCATTTTTAATTTTTATTTAAAATAAGTAATATTAAATTACTAAATTTTGTCAGATTTACTAATTAAACTTTTATCCTTTTTAGGAATTGGGCAAGGTGTTCCTGTAGTGGCTTTGATATTTGAAGGTGGGCCAAATGTCATCCTTACAGTACTGGAGTATCTTCAGGAAAGTCCCCCTGTTCCAGTTGTTGTGTGTGAAGGGACAGGCAGAGCTGCAGATTTACTGGCATATATCCATAAGCAGACAGAAGAAGGAGGGTGAGTGTAGCGTATAGCAGACTTCACAATAAATTAGAGGCTGGTAGGTTGTGCAGTTCTAAACTTGCTGTAAGCCACATTTTGGGGGTGACTTACGACAGGTTTGTATGGTCCAGGGTAGGGGGTGTGGATTAGAAACGTGTAGGAAGAACAGACATATGGAAGAAACACAGAGACATAGGATAGTGCCTGAGGACAATTCAGCGATTACTGAATTCGCCTTGTCTATTTTCCACACACTCCCTCCAAAGTGGGGGGGTAGGATGCAGTACACTTCATTAACATGATATAAGGAATAGACTTGAATTCTCCAACCTTTGGTCCAGGTGAAACAGATCCACCTCTATACCCAAAATATTAATCACATTCTAGGTCAGAATTTTGTTTATAACCATATCTGTTATCAACAATTTTGAGAGAGCAAAAATAAGCTCAAACTCACTGACTTCCAGTCAAGTGGAACAGGCTCACAACTGTGGGTCCCCACATGAACACTGTTGTCTATTGAATGAACATGAAAATCTCAGTTTTAATACAATACTTTCTTCAGACCTAGAGCAGTAGCTTGTGTCATACATTATTGGAATGAACTAAAGTGCAGTCATTTTTAGAAAATAATTATTGCTTCGGAGACATACCTTTGACCTGATAGTTTAATTTCATGTAATGGTTTCTACAGGTAAACACTTATATAAAATTTTATGTAAAATATCTTATATAAGATAAGGACATTGTAGAACATCTACCAGAAAAAGCCTAAACAAATAAATTTTGGTATATCTAGACAGTAGAATGGTTATAGCTGAGTAAAGATGGAACCTGTGTGGCAACTGCTCTCAATATAACCACAGTTTTACTTATTGATTATAAATGCTTGGCTACTAGCTCAGGCTTGTATTCGCAAACTCTAATTTACCCATTTATATTATATTAATCTACATTCTGCCACATGGTGTTGCCACTCTTTCATCTTGTACCTTCTGTTTCCCTTCCATGTCTAGCTTGTGACTCCTGACTCTGCCCTTTTTCTTTCCTGTGTTCTTAGTCTGGTTCTCCAGCTTAGCTTAACCTTATTCTGTCTGGCTATTGGCCAGTCAGCTTCTTTATTAAAACACTCACAACAGCATATTATCACACAGTGTAAAGGAATATTCCACAGAACCTCACACTGGTTGATGGATTCCTGAAAAAAAGTGACGTGAAACTAGGCAATTGGAGACTTTGATCATGAATTCCTGCATTTTGATACTTTGAGCTGGGTAAATGTGTCCATGTTGAAGACTCCTTGGTAAATTGTTTTATAAGCCATAATATAGAATATTCCTTAGAATACCTTGTAAAATCTGAGTACTAATACTACACCACATACTTTGTTTAAAACATTCACAAAATTATTCAAAGTGAAAATACTCCATTCCTTTTCTTGTGCCATAGATTTAATAATGGGTGTCTCAGGAAGTTACTATTAATATTACTACAGAACCTTCAGAAGCCTTGCATGGGTCTACCTGTACTTCGTTTGATCCTACAGAGAAGATGAAATGAGTGAAATAAGTTGTTTTTCTTCTACCAGGAATCTTCCCGATGCAGCGGAACCTGATGTTATATCAACTATCAAAAAAACCTTTAACTTTGGCCAGAGTGAAGCAGTTCATTTGTTTCAAACGTTGATGGAGTGCATGAAAAAAAAGGAGCTTGTGAGTAGTTTTCAGCAGAATAAATCTTTTCTTTTAACACACGTTCTAATTCATACAATTCTTCAGGTTTTAGTTTGTGGTTTTTTTTTTTTTTTGAGACAGGGTTTCTCTGTGGTTTTTGGAGCCTGTCCTGGAACTAGCTCTTGTAGATAGACCAGGCTGGTCTCGAACTCACAGAGATCCGCCTGCCTCTGCCTCCCGAGTGCTGGAATTAAAGGCGTGCGCCACCACCGCCCGGCTTTAGTTTGTGTTTTAAGTTTTTTTTTTTTTAAATTTATTTATTATGTATATAGTGTTCTGGGCACCAGATCTAATTATAGATGGGTGTGAGCCATCATGTGGTTGCTGGGAATTGAACTCAGGACCTTCAGAACAGCAGTCAGTTCTTTTAACCTCTGAGCCATCTCTCCAGCCCTGTGTTTTAAGTTTTTAAAGTTGTTCTGTTATTTTCTTATTGCTCTTCAGCTGAGTGATGGCATAGAAAACCTAATTTTCATATAGTGGTGAGACATTGTAATCATTCTTTCAAAGGAATTTTTATAACTGCGTCTCAACTGACTGTGCTTAATATTTAAGACTGCAGAGGAACAAGCTCAGTGGCTATAGGTGCTTGCCACCAAACCTGATGACCTGAATTTGATCCCTGTAATCTACTTGGTTTAAGGAGAGAACCAACTCTTGCAGATTGCCTTTTGCCTTTATGTGGATGCTGTGTGCAAATCACACACATATACATGAAAAAGAAGAACTATAGTTGCTAGTGGCTTCTCTAATAAAATACTTGGGATAATATTTTAGGGCTTTTATCTGTGGAAGACTACTAAATCTAGGTGCTGCTTAGTCTCATACATGTAAACATAGACGTGTATTTTCAGAGACAAAATTTTAACGTTCTGTAAGTAGATAGGAACATAGAGCCGGGTGGTGGTGGCACATACCTTTAATCCTAGCACTTGGGAGGCAGAGGCAGGCGGATCTCTGTGAGTTCGAGGTTAACCTGGTCTACAAGAGCTAGTTCCAGGACAGGCTCAAAAACTACAGCAAAACCCTGTCTCGGAAAAAAAAACAAACAAAAACAAAAAACCATAAATTTGTTGTTTCTTCTTGACCTTTTGGCTTTGATTGAGTGTGTTAATTTGTATTTTCTTTCATTGCAGACTTTATTCTCCATGAAATGAAAATGGTTGAAAACTTTGTATTTGTGTATAAATCATTTTTTTCTTTCTAAAAAGTACCTAAGTAAAAGTGTCCTAAATGGTTTTATATTTCACTACATGCCTCACCCAAGAATGCATGTGTTGCAGGGCATAGTGGTACATACCTGGAGGTTAAGGCAGGAGGCCTGTGAGTTCTAGTACAACTAGGACTGCATTGTAAGAACTTTCCTTAAAAGAAAAAGGAATACATTAATCTTTTGAATAAGTGCTCACTCTGTAGAAAGGGCAACATGATTTGTTCTGATAGTGATTTCTAGCTTCTACCCACAAACTGCTTAGTTAGCTGACAGATACAAGATAGGTTAAAAAGAAGTGAATGTGATATGAAACCAACTACTCTTGAAAATGCATTGATATTTGATTAGTGATACTCTTAATTTTCTGTTTTGTTTTGGGTTAAACTAAGCTTAAATTGGGATTAAAATGTTAGATCACTTATGTCTACATTTAGACATCTGTATAGTTACAGAAACATGTACATGACTTCAAAAATTTATTTCTGTATAAAAATGATTATATAGGTGTGTATGATTTTGTGGGCATACATGGAGGTCAGAGGACAACTTTGTGGAGTCACTTCTTTCCTTCTACCTTAACATGCCTTCTTGAGACTGAACTTCATTGTCAGTTTTATATGGTGTCCTAATTATTTTTTTGTTGCTGTGTAGAGACACCAGGACCTAGGCAACTTAATAAAAGAGCATTTAATGAGGTCTTAAAGTTTCACAGGGTGAGTTCATGATCATCATGGCAGGGAACATGGCAACAGGCAGACATGGAGCTGGAGCAGTAGCTGAGAGCTTTCATGTTACTTCCATGAAACAATAGCCACAAGGCGGGGGAGCTAACTAGGAATAGTGTAGGCTTTTGAAACCTCAAAGCTCACTCCCAGTGACATACCTTCTCCTGTTAGGCCTCATCTCCTGATTCTTCCCTAACAGTTCTACCAACCATTCAAACGTGAGCCTACTGGAAGCATCTTCATTCAAATCATCACATGGCAAGCACATTTACCCACTTAGCCATCTTGCCAGTCTTGTAGATACCAGTTTCTATACAAATCTCTATATAAATATTTTTCTTTGTATTATTTGAAATCATTTTTGTTTTATAATACTTTGGTTTTAAAAATGCATAATATTAATTTTTTTTAAAATAGATTACTGTTTTCCACATTGGATCAGAGGAACATCAAGATATAGATGTTGCAATACTTACTGCACTGCTAAAAGGTAAAGTTTTTTTAAATTTTGTTTTGGTTTTATTTTCGTTTTGTTTTTTGAGACAGGATCTATCTCCATAGTCCTGGCTGTCCTGGAACTTACCTAGATCCTCCTGCCTCTGCTTTCCAAATTCTGGGATTAAGATCTGAGCCACCGTGATTGACTAAAAAGGTAAGATTCTAAACTCTTATAAAATTATATTTATGTCTTATTTATATAAGGTAGGACTTTTCATTTAACTAAAGGTTAAGGAGTGGGTTTTTCAATAGTTTTTTTTAATGAAAGATGTTAATTTTTAGTTTGACAAAAAATTAGTTTTATAGATTTGTAGTTTTCTCTCTTGTAGAATTTTATTTTTTTTAACTTTATGCATCCAGACTCTATTAACTCCTCAAGCTTGTGACAGGTTTTATATTGGCCAGTTATTTCTGGGCCTGGGACCAGTCCTGGAATCCATGGTTTATTTTTATAGAGGGGATTTTTGTTTTATTTTGGTCTTTTTAAATTTTGTATTATTGGCTTTTTGTTTTGATTTTCATTTTGGGCCTGGTTTTGTGTGTTTGAGTTTATGCATGTGTACATGCTTAATGGGGGAGAGACCATGATGTTGAGGAGGTAGAATAACCATGATCAAACACATAAGTAAAAGCAGTTTTTTTTTTTTTTTTTTTTTTTTTTTTTTGGTTTTT